GAGTTGTTATAAAGTGAATGATTCACTTTGTGATTCTAATGTCCTCAAGAAAATAATTTCAAAACTGAGGGTGATGTGTAGCACCCAGCTGCAAAAATTCAAAATCAGCTATGTGCAGCTGCACTCTGGTTCCCCTAATTCATCTAACAGCTTTTAGCAGGTTCTATAAGTGATGTTAGAAAAGGCACAGCAGATGTGCAAGATGGCTCCTGAAATCTAAAGTGGGACAGATGGCCCTCTGGTTGATTGACAGCATGAGGAGCACTGCAGCAAGGGTCACCTCCAGTGGAGGACACCCCCACCCCCTGCATTCTGCCTGCAAGTGAAACTGTCATACGAGAACAAAAAAAGCAGGGATGGCTATTCAGAAAGCCTGTTTTCAAATATTCATTGTAGTGGAAAGATCCTCAGCACAAGAGAGTCACCAAGATGTGGAAAAAATTCTCCTTCTCTAACCAACCAAAGAGTTGACTCTGCATAGTTACAACAAAGTAGACAGATTCATGTTTGAACACGATAGGCAGACTACTGGAGACTGAGCTGAGATTGAAAACAAAGAACTAATGTACTTGGTTCAACCACCAAACAGCACTGATTAATACCAGACTATTTCATCATTGGAAGCCCTATATTGCTCTAAAAAATCAGCATCTTGTTTTAAATTTTAATGAGAAAGCCAGACAACTATTTGTGGTTGTTAATCAGGAATTTACAATCTAGGCTACACTACCTGTATGCTTATCTCCCCAAATTCCTGTCTAGTCCTTCAGATCCTCAAGAAAAAATTTTTTAAAAACATGAACGTTTTTGAAAAGAAGTTTACACCGATTGCATGTAAACTTAGTGCTGAAGCCTGTGCTAGGTGCTTTCTTATAGTTTTCTACAATTTAGGATCTCAGAGATATTGATTGAATCTTTTTTCTTAGGTTCATATAAATACAGAAACATGAGCCCTAATTTTATTGATGCTTCTTTTCATCTCTTCTGATGTAAAAGAGAAACCAAGTACAAAACATGCCCCTGGAAAATATATCCAAGCATAAGCTCAGAGGCACAGGTGGCCTGAACACCTTAAACAGGACATATTAAGTACAAAAGGCCAGACATGCCCAATTAACATGAAGACTGAGATTTGACTAACAAATCTCAGGCTTCTCCCTGGAGTTGCACGTGATAGGAGCCTCTGTCCTGTCTCCTTGTATCTCCACCCTACCAGCTGCACCCTGGCATGGCTACCATGCTCCCTGGGCATCCAGAACATAAATATTTCTGGCAACCCCAAGGGTTCCTTGCCCACAATGGGCAGTAACACTCCCTTGGGCTGAACTTTCTCATTTAAATGTAGAGAAGAGCTGAGTGGTTCGCATCACCTGTGTAATACACGGCCATGCCATGCCGTTGGGCTTTATCCCTACTAGCTTTCCTCAGGATGTCAAAGAAGGTTGCTGTAGGGAACTGGCTTGGGGGCTCTGCCCACAGCTCATCCCAAAGGGGGAGTGGGTCAATGGCTTGTGGCACATTCATGGAACAGCAGCTGGGAAGTGTGCCTTATGCTCTCCATTATCCCTTTTCATTCCCATATTTTCAACTCTTCTCTTTACTGGTTCTTCCCCTTTGACAATTACTGTCAAGACTCTAAGAAACAAAAAACAAACACAAAATTAGTCTTCATCCGCTCCTTATTTTCCTCTCAGCCTGCACTGTATGTCTTTCACCAAACAGCTAAGCTTTTGCACAGAGTAGTCTATACTTTTCGCCACAATATTCCCATTCTGTTCTTATCCTATTGTAATCTAGATTTTAATGAAAGTACTTTTGCCAAAGTTACACATAACCTTATTGCTATATTTAATGGGTAGTTCTCAGACCTTATCAACATTTGATATGATGGACCATTACTTCCTTCTTGGAACATTCTCTTCCTTGGTTTCTACAACATTCCATTTTGAGCAATCAATATGGGTTGAATGCTAAGAATAAGATATAATCTCTATCCTCAGGGAACATGAATGAAAATATCCTGACTAATAATTATGATCAGGAAGTTCAAGAGTTCATCTGATGAGACATACTTTTCTTGACACTGAAATCAAGGTATTTATTACACGGGATTTATTTATATAAATTAATGAGTACTCTAAGTAAGTCCTTTATAATTAACTTTTAAAGTTAGGTCTAACAAGTAGACATTTCCGATGGTGACATTTCATTAGATCTCAAGTTCAGTGGAGTATTATGAAGTTAGTTGATTTAATTTAATCCAGGTAGATTGATTTCTGGTGATTTCACAGTTCCAGATTAATTTACCAAGGGTCTGAACTGGCTGATAAATCCAGTAGCCTCTATCAGATGTGACTCAACTTCTAGTTTGGACCCTATTAATAAATGTTTGAATTATTTGATAGTTGCATTGCCCAATTACTAATGGATTCAAATACTTCTAAATGCCAGCACAGAAAAATGTTTAGAATCTTATTTGTTTCCACAGAAAAAGCACCATGCCCTTTCAGCAATAGAAATCCAATTCATTAACTTCATTCTGAGAAATATGTGGGCAACAGAAAATATACTCATCAATATCTACCACTTGCTATGTGTTAGGCTTGGCTCAGTAAATATTAAAAATATGATAAAATCGAATTCTGGAATCTTACAATCTAGTCAAAAAGCAAAGAACACAGCAGAGTTTGCTTTATCATAAAGCTCACCCAGTATGTCTTCTAATTTTTTTTATTTCTTCTTATATAAAAATGTATTCAACAAATTAATTTAAGAAATATTTATTGCCCTGGCTGGTGGCTTAGTGGATCAAGTGCCCGCCTGCGAACTGAAAGGTCACTGGTTTGATTCCCAGTTAGGGCACGTGCCTAGGTTGCAGGCCAGGTCCCTGGTTTTGGGGGCCTGTGAGAGGCAGCCAATACACATACATATTTCTCTTCTCCTTCCCTTCTCTCTAACAATAAATAAAATATTTAAAATAATAATAATAATTTATGAAATATTTATTGCCCTGGCTGGTGTGGTTCAGTGGATCGAGTGCCAGCCTGAGAACAGAAGGTTACTAGTTCCATTCCCAGTCAGGGCACATGCCTGGCTTGTGGGCCAGGTCCCCCACTAGGGCTGTGTGAGAAGCAACTGATCAATGTATCTCTTGCACATTGATGTTTTTCTCCTTCTCTTCCTGCCCCCCTCCACCTCTCTCTAAAAATAAATAAAATCTTTAAAAAGAGGAAATGCTGGGTTATAAAAAAAAGTGTTGATCTCATACTATGTGCCAATCATTTTGCCAGATAGGCTCCTACTCTCATGGCTCTTTAGGGGGGAGGAGGGGAGAATATAAAATAATTGTTTTAGATCCAGATAAGCACTATGAAAATAAACAAGGTCACATGGAGAGTGACTGGGGTATTATTCTAATTGGGTGATCAGGGAAGGCCTATTTGATGAAGTGCCTCAGGAGACATCAGCTGCAACCTGAGACTAGAAGCCAAGTGAACAACTAGGGTAAGTGTTCTTAAGAAAGGAACAGCAATCGCAAAGGCCCTGAGCTCAGAACCAGCTTAGCATGTCCCAGGAACAAAATGAATATTAATTACTAATATGATTATCTTAGGGATATATTTAGAGTGTAAAGATTCATGAGCCAAGGCCTCTGCCCTAAGGGAGCTCTGTAACAGAGACAGACATAAGCAAAAATAACGATACAGTGCATAACGGACATTGTAGTGACAAAAAGTTTGTATAAAGTAAAGAGGTGCTCAGAAGGAGTGATTAATTCTCCGGGGTGTGTTTCTGAGAAGGCTTCACAAAGGACGTAATATAAAAGCAGGAGTCTGAAATATCAGTAGAGTTCACAAGGCAGGGAAGAGGGTTGGGGAAAGGGGGACAGGACACAGCATACAGGTGTGGTGCAGGTTGTATCTCTCAATGATGGACAATAGAAGAAAGCGAGGCACAAGAGGAAAGAGGCGGAGCCAATGAAGGGCCTTATATTCTGTGCATGATGGGAACAATCAAAAGGCTCTGAGGAAGGAACCACAGGACTAGATTTGTGCCTTGGATGGATCATCACGGGCTGTCTCTTTTAAATGTATCTGTGGGAGAATAAATTTGGGGCAGGTCTAAAGGCAGGGACAGAGATGAAATGAGGAGGGTAGCAAAGGGGCTCGGAGACGAGAAATCTAAGAGGTTTTCAGGAGTTGGTGAAACAAATGGGTAGGGGAGATTGTTCATTGCTGAGCCACCAATAACTCTAGGTATCTGACGCATAATAGGCACTCAACATTTGTAGAATGAATAAAGGAACGGATGGTGGATGGGTGTGGCACAACGGTGTCTGATGAACAGAAGTCTTAAGGTCCTCATTCAAATATAAACTCTTCCATTAAGAACATTGAGTGCTTAAGCCTCTTTCTAGGTGTGTTGTTTTAATCCTAACAACCCTATGAAGGTTGTTTCCATTTTTCAGATGAGAAAAACGTGAGGCTCAGCGAGGTAACTACCACGCTCGAGCTTCTAGATTCTAGAACTAGTCACAAGCTACACGCAAGAGCCTGACAGCCAAGTGCGCATGCTTGGTAATTACTACTTTATACTACTTAGCTCAGAGGTTCAAACAATGAAGTGAATTTTGTTAAGCCTACTGTGACATATCAGTAGCTTTCAATATGAGGATGAGAGGTGGTTCTATAACTTCTCTGCCAGTCTGTCCCTAGAAGGCCAGGTCGGTGCGTCACAACAGCCTGAAGCAAAGCTTTGCCCCGGGATCTAGGAAGGGGGCGGGGCGGGCAGGGCCGGGCCTCCGGGTCCTCGGTGAAGGCGAGCGCAGCCGCAGTACAGCTCTTGAGCGCCGCGGCCTCGGGGAGCAGAACCTGGAGCCCAGGGAGGGAGGCGCAGACTGACGCAGGCACTTGCGTTTATTCGAGACTACTCGCCTCAGACGCCGCAGGGAGGGCTGACGTCATTTCCGCGCTGACCTTACCAGTACTTCCGGGTTACGGTCATTTTGAGCGCGTACCTGGGTGACTCTTGGGCTTCTCGGTCGTTGTCGGCTGTCCACTCCCTGCTCAGGTGCGGTCCCGCGCGCCTTCCGAATTCCGCGTGATTTTCCCCCTTCCTCATCCCTCTGGGCCTTCTGCCCCTGATCACCTGGGTTCACTGCGCCATCGCTCGAGGCTACAGCCTGAGGTGCGTGAGGTGACGCAGAGAGCCCCGTTCCGCCCCCCCACAACCTACCCCCTCACTACCTCAGTGTGGCCAGTCGCTACCCTGCACCTTCCGCCATTTTCGTGCTTGTGAGAGTGGGCCGATCGCACTTTGGTTTCGGGTTTCTGAGAACTGGTGATCGGGGGCGGGGGGTAGGGAGGGAGAGGAGGTATTTCTGCGGGGTGTGAATGGGACGGCTTCAGGGTGACGGGTGTGTGTTTGGGGGGTGTTGCAGATACAGTGGGTGGGGGATGGAGTCCGAGAATCCTACGACGGGGGATTCAGTTCAGTTCTTTGGGATATAAGAGATTAAAATGATGTCTAAGGAGGACTTTTGGGCCTTCAAGGTCTCGTTTTAGGATTTCTAGGTAGGATGCTGTTTGGGAAATAAGAGGGTTTCGTTTCTTCTTTTACGGTTGTTTTAGGATACGAGTAGTTTATTCATCAAGTTCCATCCTTGAACTCGTACCTTTCCTTTTTCTTAGCGAAGGGCTGGTTTATCGTAGACCCTCAGTGATGGCCTATTGAATAGAGACTGATGGAAGGGCCCCCATTACTACCCTTATCATGGATGCCATTTCCCCATTTCATGTAAATTGTTTTTAAGATGGGAATAATCATGGTCCTATGTGAACATTCTGCAAAATACAAATTATCTGATCTCTAAGTCTCTTAATTCCCCAGGCATAGGTTAAAACAAAAGTGTTCTTGAAATGCTATGCATTTTTGTATGTTATTTTTCAAAGTCTGTTTTGAGAAGGGAGGAAAGTTTGGAGCATACAGAATTTGGTGATAGCTTTGCACCCCTGGGAGAAGGATGTGGCGTCTTTGTTAATCCATTTTTTGGGAGTACTGCTTTGTGTGATACCTTATATGTTTCCTAGTAATTGTATTATTTTTAAAAAATATTAAGCCTAGCCTCTGGCTGGTGGCTCAGTGGATTGAGCGCGGGCTGCGAACCAAAGCATCACAGGTTCGATTCCCAGTCAGGACACATGCCTGGGTTGTAGGCCACAGCCCCCAGCAACCGCACATTAATGTTTCTCTCTCTTTCTTTCTCCCTCCCTTCCCTCTCTAAAAAATGGATGAATAAAAACTTAAATATATATATATATATCAAAATATAAAATTGAGCCTAAAAATGACTTTTGAATTTTTTTGTCTTCTATTTTCGGGAATTATCCTAATCATTGGGCATATATTTTGAAAGGATCCCAACCTATGTCAAGGGGAAATAAACCATCTTCAGGAGGAAAAATAATATTTTATTGATATTCTTTTATATCTTAATGTAATCAGTTGATAAATACTGTACTTATAAAACATATACTTTTTCAGGTAAGAGTCCTAAGATGAATAATCATTTCCAAATCACTTAATAGGTCTGTGAGTTTTGTATTTGGGTAGCTTTTTATTATGTCAACTACTTGAGATATAGTAGTGTTCAGTAAATATTTGTTGATTGGTTGCCATGAAAATTAGTAATATTACTAGACTGTATTCTGACTTTGACCTATCTCATAACTGTTTCTAATACTTAATATAAATGTTTTTGATGCAGGAAAGATGAATGGCAGGGCTGATTTTCAGGAGCCGAATGCTGAAGTTAGAAGACCAATTCCCCGTAACTATCAATTCTTTTTGGTTAGAAGCACTTTACACGTAGAGAAATTTTTCCAGCCTTGACTAACAGTGTAGCAGCTGGGCTAGTGTCATGGGTGTGTGATCTGTACAGTCACACAGGGGGCAGGGAGCCGCATGTGGGTTAATGATCTGCTCTTGCCATCTTGAAATTCTTAATAATTTGAACAGGCGGTCCCATTTTTATTTTGCAGTGGAATAGCACATTATGTAGACAATTCTAACCATGAACTTCCGTTGGAAGTCCATTTATTAAAAGTGTGTAATAAGTTTATTTAATTTTTAAGAATGGGTGTGTTTTGTTATATGTAGGTTAAGGTAATTTTTTTAGATTTAGTTCTTCCATAGGTGTTTTAATATTTGCTGATTTTCCTTGGTAAAAAGACATAGGGGCTGATTACATTCCAACAGAAGAAGAAAGAAGAGTCTTCGCAGAATGCAATGATGAAAGCTTCTGGTTCAGATGTAAGTTAAATTTTATAGTCAATAACATTTGACTTTCAGTGCCTAAAATTTTAATGGCTTCATGTAGAAAAAATTAGCACACTTTTAGTGTAGTGTGGTTATTACTAAAAGAGTTTGTTTAAGGAAATAGAATTGTATGCATTTTAAAGTAATGATTTCTAGAACTCTTTTCAAGACTGAAATATTTCCCTTTATAATAGTAATAGCATTTTCCAAGTGTACATGGATTACTATTAAAAAAACAACCTAGAAAGGTTGATACCTATTACCCTCACTTTATAGCTGAAGAAACGGAAGGTTAGTGATGTGAAATAGGTTATTTAGTGTTACACAGCTGGTAAGTTGTGATGTCTGGATTTGAAGCCAGCTCTGTCTGAAACCGAAGCTCACCGTTTTAACTATCACACTTAGCCATTGCATGATAAAAACTGACTAGTTCCCACTTTACCATTTTGAAATGCTACCATGTTTTGATTTCTGACTGGAGACCTTATATGTGAAGATTGTATGTACACTTTAAAATACAGAGAATGTTGAAAGCAACATAAAACATTGTCTTACCTTTGAACAGTACCTGGTGTTGCTTCACTGGTCATTGCGGTCCTTTCAGATAAGGTAGTTCTAACAAAAAAGCAGGGTGGGATTTTGAAAAGGGAGGAGTGACCTAAAGAGGATGTACATTTTCATCAGTCAGCCTGGAATTTATGCTTACAATGTGTAAGGTACTGTGCTTGGGAGGTCAGTTTTATGAAACATCGTCTATGCCCTCAAGTAATTTTATGGTGTAGTTGAGACAGAGCCAATTCATGAAATACTTTAAGAAAGATTAACTACAAAACAGCAATAGTAATTTTTAAAAGATCAGTTAAAAAAGGTTTAACTAAACAGCGGAAACAACTAGCAGGCCTTTAGGTAAAGGAAGAATGGTGGGGAAGCATTTAGATGAAAAGAAGAGTGAGCAAAGGTAGATTCTGCAATGACAGGATCACTCCTAGAGCCTTGAGGTTGCACTGAGTGGAACAGAAGTCTTTTGTTGAGGTAGAAGAGTAAATGTAATGCCAAGGAGTTAAAGGTTTGATTCATTACGGATTGTAGGTTCTTGGGCCAATGGGGATGATACGTAAATTTTTTTAAAGGGAGATTAGCTAGCAGTGTACAGGATGAGTTGAAAGGATGCGAAGTTGTACTCGGTGAAATCTGTCATAAACTTGTGGCAATAAAGCAGGCATACGGTCATTGAGGGGATGTGGTCATTGAAGGGATGCGTTGATTGTGGTATCATTTGGACTAGAGAAGATAGGCTGGCAGTGAAAGACTTTAAATGACATAAAATGGATATCTAAATAGATTGACTAAGAGGGAAATAAAGAAAATACTAACTTTAAGTTATCCAGCTTAGGAGACTAATGATAACATTACTGGTTAAAAGGTAATTTTTAAGGAGTTCTTGTTTTTGTTGTTATTGTTATTTTCTTTGAGAGACTCTGTTGTTACGGTTTCTCTGTAGTCCCTGCACTTTTGCTTGATTGGGCTCACAGAGGTGTGATCTGGGGTCCCAGGGACGGGGGGCTGTGCTGCTCTGGAAGGCTTTGCATTGGAGTTCTTGTTTGAAGAAGGAAACTAGTTTGGACATTTGGAGTTCATGATACAGCATATGATGGTGCTGAAGGTCTGTATGGAACCAGAGATGAAAACAAAGGTGTAAGAAATTAGCATTTGTGGTGTAGGTGTGTTGGTGAATTCACCAAGAAATTGTGTAGAAATAAAAGCATAAAACTGGCAGTAGCATCTGTCACATGGTCAACATGTAGGAATGATGGAATAAATGGCAAAATTTGGGTTGCACACATGGACAAGGGAACCTAGTGGTGGTGAAAGGATGAACAAAGAGCAAGACAGAGCAGTTCAGATAATAGGAGCTCTTCAGATAATAGGAGCAGTCAGATAGTAAAACCTTTTGCATTTTATCCTCATGTCATATTCAGAGACTTACAGAGGTTCCACGCTAGAGAGAACCCGTGTGAGAGTTAGGCAGTGATGTACATCTCTAGGTGAGAATAAGTGTTCTAAATGCAGTCATCATGGATCAAGGACTTCTAAAAACTTTATGTGACTCATAGGAGAAATTTCTCAGACAACTCATTTGTTCTCTCCCAACTGATTTTTTTATCTTCCAAGGATTGCATAGAATATACGTACAATGAGGTGATCTGTTTTCAAGCCTATTGATAATACAGGATTAAGAAAAAGTCATCTGGTGGATAGGGTTTGAGATCACTGTAATATTAGGCTAATAGCCACATATATACTATGGTGTCCCGATTTATTTCTGGCTGTTAAATTTATGCTGCTGTACATGTTTAACATTCCAGATAAGTTGTAACAGAACGATGCTAAAAGTACATTGAAGAGCAGTGATTAATAGGTAGGGTACCTGTGTATGCCTGACTGTTCAAAGTAGGTCATGTAATACATGGACAATAGAAGCCTAAGTAATTCTATTAAAACAGATTAATCACAAGTTAGACAGGAAACATGTAATAAGGACAGGCTAAGAAACAGCTTGCTGTATACCATATCTGGAGTACTGGGAAATTGCAGCAGCCACAAAAAAATAATGATTACTCTTAAAAAAGATACCGTGGTGTTGCATAATGTAATCACATCAAACATTGAAAGTACATAGAACCTTGCCTCTAGCTGCAAACGATAGGGAATTCAACATGTAATTACCAGGAGACAGTAATTGTCATGCATTAAGAAATTGTGCTTTACCTTTGTATTTTGACATAAGGATATTCTCTGTAGTATGTGGTGTTTACATATATTCAGGTAAATGAATAATGGAATCCATGTTTCTTTGGAGAGTATCATCTTGTGCTTATTGATCTAAAAAGGTTGTGATGAAAGTAGGAATGTGTAGAAAAAGAATTCCCTAAGGTTATCTTTTACAGATTTTTAAAGTCTGTTACATACTATGTTTATCCTGGTTTAAATTTAGACTTGTAAATTCTTTCTTTATGGTAATTTTATTCCTACTCCGATCTATTTTCTGATAATCTTAAAGCTTAACTATCAAGACATGAATCCCAATTGCTTAAAATTGTGGCCCTATGCACTGACAAAAAACAAAAGAAAAACCCAGTTATAGCTGTGCCTGGAAACAGGTAATGAAAGACTCTATATAAAAGTGGGTCACATTGGTGTGTGTTATATGTTAGTTCTCAACTTCTAGAATTACTGAAAAGGTATATAAATTCATATTTGTTTCATGCATCATGTATAGATTTTGTGAATATTTCATATATGTTTGCTTCTGGTTTTCAAATGTGATAATGTAATGAGTGATTAGAGTATAAACTCTGAGGCCTGTCTGGATTCAAATCTCAGCTCCATCACATATTCTGAGATTTCAGCCAAGTTCTTGATGGCTCCTTGCCTCATTTTTCTTATCTGTTAAATGGGGATAATAACCTATTTCATGGGATTGTTATGGGGATTAATTCAATTTAATTTATTATATAAATGTTAAACTACCTTTATTAAAAGACTGTCAGTGCTATTGTGATTAATGAAATAACAGTTCCAGTTGAAACGAATTTTGAGTTTAGAGTAGCATTTTGCTATTGTAGGTGGAAAAGAATGAAAGGCATTTTAGGGGTTCTTGTATTGGATATGGTTGGAACCATGGTCATAATGCATATTAACTTTTGGTCAGCAGTGTTACTGATTTGCCTAAAGAAACATTCTTTGATTGACTCTGAAATAGGAGTCTTGTGGTACAGAGGAAAAGGCCATTAAACCTGGACCTAGTGTGAGCTCTATCATAAACTAACCATCTGTGTTGCTTTGAGCAAATGACTTGTCTTTTCTGGATATCAGTTTACTCTGATTAAGATGAGGACTATATACTACTCTCTGAAGTCCCTTTCAGTTTTACCTTTCTCTTTTTCAGCGACAAAATGCATGAGTTGGAAAGAGGTCTTATTTCTAATAATTAGCCTTTATAGCATGAAATTAGAAGTTGAGAGATTTATGCAAAGACATTGTGATGATTGGCAGAAGTAGTAATAAGATCTCCTTAACAAGACTGTTAACTCTTTGCATTATGCCATCATGGCCTAAGAAAAAAGTAAAATAGGGAAAGCATTGTCCATTGCAGAGGTGGCCAGCCAACTCACTGACTTTCATCCTTATATGATCATTCACTACTTCATGCTGTATTCCTGGAACCACGCTGAAGGAGAAAAATTACAGATTGTACTGATGCTGTAATTAAAAAGGAGTTGTTCTTTGGAAAACCTTAAGTCATAATAAAGGAAGGCACGCTAACCAGCCACATTAAACCATTTTCCAGCAGAATTTAAATCTGTAAGTATTAGAGTGAGGATTCAAACCTTAGGGTTTCTGTAAATTGTCTGATGGCAAAGTTAATGCCCTATTCCAAAATTACAGATTTAAATCATGAAATCTGGTCATTCAAATGTCTTAATTACCTTGGTTCTTAAATTGCCGATAGATAGTCTAGACCAGAATTGAGCAAACTACAACATAAGGGTCAAATCTGTTTTTGTATGGCTATGAGCTAAGAATGGTTTTTACATTTTTAATAGTTGAAGCCAATCAAAAGAAATATTTCACTACATGTGAAAAATGTTGGTAAACAGTTCCCTACAGTGATAGAAACTTTTACCTAAATGATGGGTGTCTCATTATACCTAAATGTCTAAATTTGTATTTCTGCATCCATAAATAAAGTTTTATTGAAACACAGCTATGTGCATTTGTTTATGTATTGCCTCAGTGCTTTTGCTTTAAAATGGCAGTTAAGTAGTCGGAACAGAGACTGTGTGACTCACAAAATCTGAAATATTTACCATCTGGCTCTTTACAGAAGGATTCCCAATCCCTGGTTTAGAGCTGTGCTATACAATGTGGCATCCAAATGTAGCTATTTAAGTTTTTAAACAACTTACAGTGGAAAGGTTAGAAGGCAAAATAGGTGAAGGTGAAAGGAGCATGGATCAAAGTCTAGGGGGAGCCAGATAAGAGCTTCCAAGAGCCCTATCCCAGTGGAGTCCCACACAAAGGACCTGCTAAATTTCTCTAGCTGTTATCTAGGAAGGAATCTCATTAGAGACTCACTCAGCACTTGGGGTTTTTATTGGGGGCTGGTTATGGATGCACCCTCAGCCTAGGAGGTAGGGAAATTCCAGACTCACAGAAGGAAATCAGGTGTTCAGCCTAAACTGTTTGTGCAACCAGTTCAGACACAGTGAACCATCTATCATTCAGGTAAAGTTTTATATCAGTGTAGGGAACTGTTTACCAATTTCCCAGACACCAGCCAAGAACTTTTGTAAGCAATTCTTTCTGAATTATATTGTTTAGTATTTTGTAATGTATTCTTAAATTAAAAATGGTTCTTTGTATTTCCACTGACTATATACAGTACAATTTTTAAACATGGGAAAATTCTCTTTAAAAATCTTAATTGTACAACACACTTTGTGGGTGGTTTTACTGGTACATGTTTATCCTAATGAACTCAGAATCTTTGTTGATGTTGACAACTTCTTTTTCCTTCTTTAGCTGTACCTTTGGCTGCAACAAGTATGTTGATTACTCAAGGATTAATTAGTAAAGGTAAATATTTAAAATTCTAGTTTATTTAGCATGTTGGATATCATCTTTTCATATGGTATTTTCCTGATTTTTTAGTTAAAGTAAATATAATCCTGTGTCATATTAAACTACTATTATCACTGATAAATTTCTAGAATGGCAGAAGAGTTCTGTCTCCATGAACCCAGTGACACAAATATCTTGATTTGAGAATTCATAGCAACATTACATTGTATTGTATTGTAGCAACATTAACAATCTACAAGAGCAAGAAAGTAACTAAAAGCCTGTGCATGGGTTACAGGGTGGCAGAAAGACAAACCTGGTCTATGTAAGCCATGCATTTCACTGTCACCTAGGAGCATGTTTGAAATGCAAACTTGTGCCCCAGCCCAGACCTATTGAATCAGAATCTCTGAATTAGGGCCCAGGAATTTGTTTTAACAAACTCCTGGTGATTCTTATGCATTGGTTTAAAGATGAATGACTCCCTAAATCAGCTTTGTCTTATGATAATGGAGGGATAGGGATACTTTCTTTTCCCAGACCCTTTTGGCTTAAACAGTACAGTGTGTCCATATCTGGAATTGAGTTTAAAGTATTAAATGTATCTACACCTGAAAATTAAATACACCTAACATTTATTTCGTGAACTGTCTCCTTGGAGTAAGATGTCCTAGAAAAGGGTGGTGACCTTAGGATGACCTTTACATATCCTAGAAAACTGTTCTCTTAATTAGCTAGCTCCTATAATGTGACTATGGTAGGAAAATTTGTACTTTTCATATTAGCAGTATGAAGCACTTAGAAAGTAGTATTGACACAACTAGTTGAGAAAAGTAGTTTTCAAGGGATTTGTAGTGTTAATATTTTATTTATTTAAAGCACTCCCAAATAACTTCATTACAATGTATTGCCAAGACTAGAATCTTAAATGTGGGAACAAATCAGTATACATGTGTACTTATTTGTGCTTTAAGAGTAAGTTGTTTGATAGACTAGGACTCCTTCTATAGTGAGAAACAGAAAGCAAGCCCTGGCTGGCGTAGCTCAGTGGATTGAGCGTGGGCTGTGAACCAAAGCATCGTAGGTTCGATTCCCAGTCAGGGCACATGCCTGGGTTGTGGGCCACGTCCCCAGTGGGGGCCACGTGAGAGGCAACCACACATTGATGTTTCTCTCTCTTTTCCCTCCCCTCTCTAAAAATAAATAAAATCTTTTAAAAAAAAAAAAAAAGAGTTCCCTAGGCCAACGTGTGGAGCCTGCAAATTAAAAAAAGAAAAAAGAGAGAAAGAAACAAAGCATTTCACATTACTTTTAAGGAAAAACTGTGGCACAAGGAGTTATGAACAGAGAAATTATAATCGTTGTACTGCCTGTTTTATCTAAATCCAGTTGTTTAATAATGACTAAGTTCCCCTGAAGAAACTATTTGAACACAGTGTTCAAACAGAGAATATAATTAAGTTTTTAATAAGTTACTAAGTTGTATAATACAGACTTCAAGAGATGTAGGTCTACAAGGAAGAAAGATTTCTGCAGGGCTGCTGTAATCAAGGAAAGTTTCTTGAAAGAAAGGAATTTTAAAAATAAGCAGGATTTAGAGTAGAAAAGAAGGAAGACTATCAAAAGAAGGAGGGACAGACCTGATTATCAAAATAAGCATGACTGTTGGGAGGGACAGTCAAGAGAATGACATGACCAGAGTGACAAAATCATGTAGGGAAAAGTGAAAACTCCAGTAGCTAGGGTCCTGGAGAAATGGCCATTTTGATTAGATTACTGAGAAGGTAAACTATTCTGGAACTTTTGAGCTTAGGCAGAGTAGGAGACTTTAGGGCTTGAAGGTGTGTCGGAAGCAGTTAGAGTTGGGAGAAAGAGATTGTACAGAGTTATTTAGATAGGCCTTATATCTGCAACAAAAAAAACCTCACCACTGCTTGGGGGGGGGGGTGTTTGTTTGTTTGTCTGTCTGTCTTAAGAATGCCTTGCTCCTACACAAAACTGATTTTACCGAACCAGACAAATTAAATGAGAGAAATTCCCTTTTTCTAATTGTAGATATATCCTGGTAGAACTGTTTATATAATTAAGGTGAAACCAACTGAAGATAATAGGACCTGTTACTGAGGAGGCAAATTATTCTTGTAGCCAGAATTCTTCTGAATTTTTAGTCACCATTTGGTGATTTATCATCAGTGACAGTTTATGCCTTTACGATTTCATTTGCAAAAGTCATACCATGCGTGGTGGCATTGTTCCAACATCCTTCTCTAATTGTTCGTGACTGGGCCTGGAGCCTTACAGTGGAATTTAGTGTTCTATTTTTTAGAAAGGATAACTTGTTGAAATGATTTAACCTAATTTGTAAAATAACACTTTTCTATTGAACATGTCATCTTTCTAACTTTGTCAGTTTTGTTATTGTTAGGGTTTTGATACTGTACTTCTGCATAAAAATTAAAAAAAATATTGGATGGTATATCACTCATGTAACTATCTCTGAGAATTAAAGTCTTTTATTGTTGAAATTATATTGGGGTCTTGTTTTGTGGGTGAGATACTCTAATGAAGAAGTCAGTCTCCTCAAAAAAATTGAGACTTCAGAAAAGGAATTCAGAATTCCCTGACATTTCACATATAATTAAAATGGCTAACATTTTATATGTGCTTTTATCCACGATGTGACATACTCAGCTGCTCCATCTCTACTTTCTCTTTTTCTGACAAAATACTTAAACATGTTCAGGTCTGTTCTAACTTGAGAATATACAAAAAAAAAATCTTCCCTTATATCCCTTTCCAGCTGCTTCCAGCTGTCCTGCATTTGAAGCCAGAGTTCAAGAATAAACACATCACTTTATGCTCCTTTAATTTATGGCAGTCTAGGTCATAGATTGTGGCTATCTTCTTACATTTACCAAAACTTTAAAAAATGTTATAAAAACAGTCTCCTTGTTGCTTAAATTTGGACAGTTTTTGTTCTTGACTCACCCACCAGTCCTTGAAATCTCTACCCTTGCCTTTCATGACAGCACCTACTTCGGATTTTTCTCTACCGTAAAGAACTCCCCCTCTTCATGTTTTTTTGAGTGATATATACTATACACTATTTTGGAAATAGCACTACAAGACAAATTCATGACCTCTTGGTGCTTACATTCTAGTGTGGATTTTCTTCCTCCACCTGTGGTTTTTCCAGAGTTCAGTTTTCAGTCTCTATATACCCAGCAAAATGTGTGTTGTAAGTGGTCTGTGTTTGAAGGAAAGTCTTCTCTGTAAAAAGGTAGATGTTATTACCATCCTCCTTTTTTTTACCTCATTTGTGTAAGCTAAGGAATTGAGAGGCTAACAGCATAACTGAGTTCTGTTTTTATACATAATGAACATGAAATCAGACAAGTAAGTATTCTTTTAACATTGTTAGTGAGATTTATCGAGTGGTATGCTGGAATTGGCTTGTATCAGCTATTGAAAGCTGATTTTTTAAATGTTCAGCATTTTGATAAACAGCATTTTGATAAACCATTTAGTACCTTGAAGTTGGTCACAGTCCAAGTATGTTCTCTCCATGGAAATCAACCAACATTATAAATCAGGGATTTTTATTTGGAGAGCTGATTTACTAGCACATAACTAGATTCATCCACGTTGTTGCATGTAGTTGTAGATTGTTCTCATCGCCATATAGTTTTTCACTGCGTGAATATACCACAGCAGTTCATCTGTCCTCTTACACATTGGCACTTGGATAGCTAACACTTTTGACTGTCACAGGTACTTCTGCCATGAATACAGTGTCTCTTGGTAGACATTTTGCTGGGTCATAGATTAGGTATATATTCAGATTTAGTAGATACTGCCAAACTTGCCCAACAATTTAGGCCAATTTATACTTCCACTACTAATTTATTAATGAAATTCTATTAATTATCACATTATCACCAACACTTGCTATTTTCATGTCTTTCCTACTTTAACCATGTGGTGAGAGAACAGTGATAATGATTGCATTGTAGTTTTAATTTGCATCTGATGACTAATGAAGTTGAAGGCCTTTTTGTTTACGTCCCATTTGAATATATCCCTTTTTGTGAAGAATCTAAACAGTGTGTTGTCCATTTTCCATTAGATTGTCTTCTTTTGCTACTGGTTTTGTGAGAGTTTTCTGTTTATTTGGAAATGCGTCTTGTCAGATAAATGTATTGATTGTTTTTCCCACTTTGATGAACTAGTTCTTCATGTAATGTAATCCAGTATGTCAGGTCTCTATGATGAGTGCTTTTTGTGGTTCAAGATCTTTGTCTATTACACGGACATGAAGAATCTCTTATGTTTTCTTCTGTAAGCTTTATTTCATCTTGCATGCTTAAATTTTCAGGCCATCTGGGACTGTTTCTAAAAGTTGTATGAGGTAGAACCAAGGTGCATTCTTCCCCTTTTTGTAGTTGAGGCAGAACTATATTTTGAAAGGACTTTTCTTTGTTCACTGCAATGCAGTGGTTGCCTTTGTCACGAATCAAGTGACTGCATCTGTGGGTCTGTTTCTGGACTCTCTGGTTTGGGTCAGTGTATCTATTCTTGCACTTAGACTGTCCTAATTACTACGGTCATAGATCTTGATACCTGTTTGCAATTCTCCAGTTTTGTTGTTCTTCAATATTGCCTTGCTTATTCTTGGCCCTTTTGTGTTTCCATATGATTTTTAGAACAAGCTTGTTCAGTTTGGGGGGGAAACTTTCTTTGATTTTAATTGGGATTGCATTGAATTTGTAAGTGAACTTACGGAGACTTGCCATCTTTATAATATTTAGTCTTTGGTTCATGGACATGGTGTATTTCCCCATTTATTTAGCTTTTATTTTTCAGTGAGATTTATAGTTTTCAATGTAGAGATCTTTTGTATTTTCATTAGGTTACTCCTGGGTCTTTGATGTTTTCGGGTACTGTAATAAATTACGTCTTTTAAAAAATGTTTGTTCTTTGTTTGTTCCTGGTATAAAGAATATTTCTTTTTTTGTATATTGACTTTGTATGAAGTGATCTTGCTAATAAATTCCCCTATTCTAATAGATTGTGGAGTCTTTCCAGTTTTTGTCATATTTCTGTTGATACTCAATTTACTTGGTTCTTTCTTTTAAATAGCTTTAGACTTCTCTAGGGTTATGGAAAAAGCTGATGTTGTTAGGTACCATTTAAAGATTGTACTGATTGTCTTTTTTATATTTTTCCTTGTTTCTGCTGATAAATAGATATGTCTCACTTCATGTTGCGTTGCTGAACTTACCTTGTCTCACATTAGAAGAGACCACATAATGACCAGCAGAAATAATTCTTTGCATTTTACCACAATTTCTTGTTATTTTCTTATATACTCTTAGCATAAACTTGACATAAACCAATTTTATCTTAGTAAAAGATTAAAAAGTATTTTTCTCTCACAATTAATGTTACTCAGGAGTATTTACTTTTGTCTTTAGGAATCCTTTCAAGTCATCCCAAATATGGTTCCATCCCTAAACTCATATGTAAGTATGAACACTTGTTTTCTTAGCTTTTTACTTAGGAATATTATTATTGTAATATTATTTTGTAAAGATATGATATTCAAAAGTAAATTCTTTTGGCCTATTAGAAAAGAAAGTTGTTCAGTGGTTCTGACTATTCAAAATAAAGAGTATATTAAAATTAAACCTAATTTGGACAAATCTTATAAATTTAGATTAAAAATGTAAATAAGTAACTTATTTACAACTTGTAATATTGTCAATAGAAAAGAGCTAAATTGCTTTAAAAAAGGTACGTGAGGCTTTTTGTGAATGTCTCCTCCGGGTTAGCCTCTCTTTTGTGTTGGAAGCATGCTTGATGCAACAATAGCCATATTTAGGTAACATTTAATACTTAATTATTTTCAGAGATTTGTTGTACCTAATTTTAAAAACAATCTGAAGAAATTAGCCGGGCACATGGTATGGTTCTCATTTTATAGGAAAAGAAATGGCTTAAATCTCTGATTTAGATTAGAGCTCTGGTGTTATGATTCCTTATCCCGCTATACCTTTACCACATCTTTCTTATCTGTGTTAATAAAATAGTAAAGTAGAACACACTTACAGCAACTTTATTTTGGGTTATTTTATTTGTAAGTGTGAATTATATCTACAGTCTTTCTGTGAACTCTGAATCTGATTTAATGTGATACCTTTACCATTATTTCAGGAAATCTCAGTCTTTCCACACGAAAGACAAACTTAGAATCACATTTTTTTAAATGTACTCTTAGATTCTTGTCCCAAAAAAAGTACATTGAGTTACACTGTCTGTTTTTTAAAAATAAGTTGCCTGTATCATGGGATACTTTGCTGGAAAGCTTTCTTATGTGAAAACTTGCCAAGAGAAGTTCAAGAATCTTGAGAATTCCCCTCTTGGAGAAGCTTTACGATCAGGACAGGCTCGACGCTCTTCACCTCATGGGTAGGCCAGATTCTTATCTTTATTAAAGGTTTTTCATTTTAGCTAAAAAAAATTGTAACTGGATATTCCCATAACTCAGGGCATAAAAAACATTGCCTAACGGAAGGACCATTGGAAACTTGCCACTTTGTTGCAAGCTAAAGTTAATTTGGTGTTTAAAGGCAGAGTGAGATTTGTCTACCTTTGTTTTATGTACAGCATCCTGCCGAGAGTATATATTCCAGAATAAAGGATTTTAATTTGGCAGATACCTTTGGTTATCTATATTTTGAACTTTTCTTTTGAATTCCCAAATTTTATCAATTCCAGCTCAACAAATTTCAACTTTCTAATCCTTTTATTGTTTAAAACAGTTGGGAAATTGTATAGGTGTAGATAAATGAATCTGTCTGGATAGGTAAATAAGTAAGAAAATAATTAAATAGATTTGGTAGCTGTATTGTCATATCATAAATGGCAAGCGGTAGAAGCTCCATGAGAGCTAGATTTACTTATATCTGCTTTATCACAATAGAGTTTGTATGGACTGCCACCTGTGGAAGTAATTTCCCAGTTAATGTGGGAAATGGACACATTTTTTCTGATAGGAAGTATTTTTTCTTTCTAACAACTTCAAATGTGTTAAAATGATCTCTGAGGCCTAGTCATTAGAGAACCGAATAAACATTTTTTTCTCCTGTATAGTTTTAAGTTATGTAAGTAGATCAGAATATATTTTTAATTTTTTGTGACAGAAATGAACATACTTCATTTTACTATTTTAAATAACTATTAATGTGATTTCTTTAGAAAGATAACTTTTTTATATCTTAGCATATGTTTTAGAATAAGGTATAGGCAATAACTCGTGTTTCTTATGTAATACGAATTTCTTTTATAGGCACTATTCTCAGAAGTCAAAATATGACTCAAATGTAAATGACCATTCATCTTTTGTGACATCTCCAGCAGCAGACAACATGGAAAAAGAGTTAATTCCTCACTATGAGCCAATTCCATTTAGTGCTTCTATGAATGAATCTACTCCCACTGGTATTACTGATCATATTGCCCAAGGTAGAAACTTCTCTTGAAATGAATTTCAGCATTTAATGGTCCAACGTATGTATAAACTTTATTTGATGACCTTTTCTGCTGGGTATCACCTGTGTGTTCCACCATCAGCCTAAATGCAGCATGTTTGTTCATTTTTTCATTTGTTTCTTCATTTAACATTTTTTGAGGTCCAGTGTGTTAGAAGATATAGAAATATGAGGATAAATTACAAGCGTGTCCCATTAATTGAAAATATTAATCAAGTTTAGTGGAATATCAAAGAAGTGATAAGTTGTACCTCCAGGATGCTTTTAAAATGTTACATTTGTTAAGCTGGTCTTAAAGGCTTTCAGCTTTGTTATGTGAGAAAAATAATAAATACCTGCTTTACAGAACAGTTGTCAAGTGAGAAAATCCATGTGAAAATGCATTGTGAAGTGTGTGTAAATACTAGCTTTGAAGATCACGTAATGTAAGTGCAACAACATCAATTTTGGATTAAGGCCTGGATTTGAACCAGGATTGGCATTTATTAGTCGTTTGCTTTCGGCAAGTAATTAATTTGTGGTCCCTTAAGTTTCTTGATTTGTTGAATGGAGATGATAATACCACTTTTAAAGAATTTTTGGAAAGAGATGAAATAATCAGAGGTAATGTCTAGTAAGTAATAGGCTCTTTATCAAATGTTAATTGCTTTCTTTCCTCCTGTAGTCTAGTTCACTGTGAAAGGTGAGGAGTTATATACAGAAAGTACAGGCCTGTAATTCCTTATCTGAAACTGTAAAATCCAAAAAGCTTTGAAAATAGAAGTTGTTTTTTTTTTTTAACTAAAGAGGTGGTAAAATCTAACCTGTACTCATTTCAAACCCTGACCTAAACTGATATAAATTTATTTATAATCTTTATCTTAATGTGATTTTTCCTAAATTTTGTTATAGAGAAATACTGTTTTTACTCATTGCTGCTCTTAACTTCTGAATGGAAGAATGTTAAATAATATAAGGGCTGTATACTATAATATTTTCCCAGGTTCCAAGAAAGTCTGAATTTTAAAATATTTCTGACTCTAAGGGTGTGGACAATTGATTGTGGGTGGGTACTCTTTAAAAATGCTTGCTTTGAACTAAATACAATAAGCCAGTAACTATAGAGAACAAACAAGGTTTAAAGAACACTTGGTTTAATTTAGGGAGAGATTTTTCTGTGTGTGTACACACACACATAACATTAAGGGGAGCGGTGCGGCGGGGGGATACTGTGGAAAGGGAAAAGTTGATTGTAGGTCAAATGAAATTCCAGAGGATGCAGAGGAGCTAGGTGTGTCAGGATGTAAAGTAGCCACTGACTATATATGACTGTTTAATTAAATCAAATTAAAAATTCACATCCTTAGTTGCTTTGAGAGCATTTCAGTTTTTTAGTAGCCACATGTGCTAGTGGCTATTGTGTTGGACTGCAGATACAGAACATTCTCATCATTACAGAAAGTTATACTAGATAGCACTGCTTTAGAGCAAAAGTAAGGGGGTGAGTACTTGCAGAAGAGATGGGAGAGAATGGAAGTTAAGATAATGTAGATTTTTTAGTGAATAAAAGTAGTTGAGAGTCTGTTAATTTTCAACTGCTTTTTTTCCCCCTCCCCTGAATGGTTGGAGGTAAAGACATCTAACTATAGTTGACCCTTGAACAACATAGGTTCGAACTGCACAAATCTGCCTATAAGTGGGCCCGCATAGTTCAAACCCATATTCTTCAGGGTCTGCTGTAGTCAGAAAGGGAAGGAGGGGGCAGATTAGAGAAAGTGGTTAAAGTCATCATTTGATCTCCAAAAGCAGCTGTCCTTGTCCCTCATTGCATCTCTCCATTTTTCCCATCTCTCAAGTTCAAATCCATTGTGCTTGTATTCTAGCCATGTAATGACTTACATCCTTCCTTGCATTTGTATTGACAGCTTCCATTTCATGTTATATAGCTTCTTGTTCAAATAGTAGCAGACAGACAAAGCCCTTTGGTATCTGCCCATAGACCAGAGCAAGGCCCATATTTTAATATATTTTATGTCCTCCAAAGCAGTTCCGTTGTTTTCTCAGCCCCTTCTCTAGGTCAAGGTTTCAACATGTTGCTCTCCACAGGGACCAACAGTGGCCTTTGCTTTTCCCCAGCTGCTGTTCCCCCTTACTGAGACGTCCTCCCCTTTTGTTTAAGCAGAGCTACTTGTCCTCTTAGTTCTTCTACTTGTCCTCTTTCTCTACCAAGAATTTAAAGTTTTTCAGAGTAGAAAGTATTCCTTTATAGTTATGACACTTATTATAGTTTATTACAGTTAGATTCAATAGAATCTATGCTATTTTCCATTGTCCTATTCCTTCCAGCTCTATATAACCTTACCAAAGTAGTAAATCATGCTTCCTATACAATATAGGATGTTTTCATTTAGCATCTGTAGGTGTAAAAAATTCTCCCTAACATTCTGACTGAATTATGTTTTCATTATTTGTCACAGAATTTCAGAACAATGAAAAAAGTATTAGACCTGGAAGGAACTTTAGAGATAGATTATTTAAACATCCATGTTTCACAACTGAGAAAACCAAGATTTAAAGACACTTAGTGATTTGCCCAAGGACATCCATGAATTGTTGGCAGAGCAGGAATGAACATAGGGTTTCTGACTACTGCTCTGTCTCCTTCAGTTTAAAGATATACTTTATGGTGAAGGGAAATGAGTCCATTAATTACTTACTAACTAGTGAAATATCAAGGGCAATGTTATAATATTTTTCTTTGCATATTTTTGAGCAAGAAAAACTTTCCAACAATGGTATATTATTAGAACTAATAAGGGGAAACTTAAATGCTTTGTATCAGTGCCATATACTTTGTATTAAAATAAACAGTTATGGTTGAAAGCATTAATGTATAGTTATATTGCTTTAACAATTGATTATTACTGGGACCTTACCATTGAGTCTCAAAATAGTACTGCTTAACAAAAATTGTCTTAAAAAATAATCATAATTAAAATGTGCCCAATTTGTATGTATTAAAAAACTCTGAACTTCTGGCCAAGATGGAGGTGTAGGTAGACACACTGTGCCTCCTCGCACAACCAAAATAAGGACCAAAAAAATTAAAAACAAGAAAAAAATTAGTACAGACAGAAAATTGAACTGTATGGAAGTCTAAAAACCAAGGAATTAAAATAGACACATTCATCCAGACGGGTAGGAGGGGCGGAGTCAGGCAGCTGGGCAGAGAGGGGCGTGGCAAAAAAAGCAGTGGCTGGCGGATCCAGCAAGGCAGCAAACTGGAGGGGCGTGGCATATTTGAGTCCAGATAAATCAGGCAAAACTGGGGGGCAAGACAGACCGCACAACCCTGGGGTCCCAACATGGGGAAATAAAACCTCAAAACACCGAATGAAAACACCTGTGGGGGTTGAGTTCCGGGAGAGACTCCCAGCCTCACAAGAGAATTTGTTGGAAAGACCCACAGGGTCCTAGAACATACACAAACCCACCACACAGGAATTAGCACCAGAAGGGCCCAGTTTGCTTGGGGGAAGCGGCGGAAGGGACTGAAGTCCAACAGAGAGTGGAGCAAGCACCATTGTTCCCTCTCAGACCCCTCCCCCATGTACAGTGCCACAGTGCAGCAACATGGATTGCCCAGCCCCCGTCGATACCTAAGGCTCCACCCTTCACTGCTTAACAGGCGTGTCAAGACAAAAAAAAAATGGCTCAAACGAAAGAACAGATGAAAGCTCCAGAAAAAATACAATTAAGTGATGAAGAGATAGTCAACCTATCAGATGCACAGTTCAAAGCACTGGTGATCAGGGTGCTCAAAGAATTGGTTGAATTTGGTCGCAAATTTGATGAAAAAATGAAGGCTACACTAAGTGAAATAAAGGAAAATGTACAGGAAATCAGTAGTGATGGGAAGGAAACTAGGACTCAAACCAATGGAGTGGACCAGAAGGAAGAAAGAAACAACCAAATAGAAACAACCATTCTTCAAGAATGAAGAAAGAAGAATTCAAAAAAAAATGAGGAGAGGCTTAGGAACCTCCAGGACATCTTTAAACGTTTCAACATCCGAATTATAGGGGTACCAGAAGGGGAAGAGGAAGAGCAACAAGTGGAAAGGTTATATGAACAAATAATAAAGGAGAACTTCCTCAATCTGGCAAAGGAAATAGACTTCCAGGAAGTCCAGGAAGCTGAGTCCCAAAGAAGTTGGACCCAAGGAGGAACACACCAAGGCACATCACACCCAAGATTAAAATGAAGGAGAGAATCCTAGAAACAGCAAGAGAAAAGGAGACAGTAACCTACAAAGGATTTCCCATCAGACAGTCAGCTGATTTCTCAGAAGAGACGGTGCAGACAAAAAGGGGCCGGGGCCGGAAAGAAGTATTCCCTTAGAAGGGAAGGGCAGATAAAGTGCTTCTCAGATAAGGTCAAGTTAAAGGAATTCATCATCACCAAGCCCTTATTATATGAAATGTTAAAGGGACTTATCTAAGAAAAAGAAGATAAAAAACATGTATAGTAAAATGATAGCAAACTCAAAATTAGTAACAACCACACCTAAAACAAAAGCAAACTAAGTAAACAGCCAGAACAGGAACAGATTCACAGAAATGAAGATCACATGGAGGATTAGCAACAGGGGAGTGGGGGGAGGAGAGAGGGGGAAAAGGTATGGAGAATAGGTAGCATAGATGGTAGGTAGAAAATAGGTGGGGAGGGCAAGAATAGTATGGGAAATGTAGAAGCTAAAGAACGTAAGACACATGGACATGAACTAAAGGGGGGGAATGTGGGTGGGAGGGGGTGTGCATGGTGGAGGGGAGTGAAGGGGGAAAATGGGACAACTGTAATAGCATAATAAAGTATATTTTTTTAAAACCTCTGAAGAATGTTGCTTTTGGATTAGTAAGATTGTAAGTAGTTGTTCATTGAACGCTGTGTTAGTATTAGTTAATTTTTTAAAAAATGTTCATTTGGCCCTGGCTGGCGTAGCTTAGTGGATTGAGCGTGGGCTGCGAACCAAAGTATCACAGGTTCGATTCCCAGCCAGGGTTGCAGGCCATGGCCCCCAGCAACCACACATTCATGTTTCTCTCTCTCTTTCTCCCTCCCTTCCCTCTCTAAAAATAAATAAATGAATGAATCTTTTTAAAATATGTACATTTGGCCTTTTTTTGCTGGTTATACATTTATAAAGTTTGTTCAATATTTGGCCCTGTCAGCCAATATTAAGAGTAACCACTTCCATATGTTTCATCAGTATTTGGCTCTGCTAACATGTATTCATACTTTGACTCTTTGGGAGAGATAAAGAATGAATGCTGGTTCCCCACTTGAAATTATATTATACTTGCCACTGTCTTCTGCCTCAATACTGCATTCATTAGACCTAAGTGAAAATGATGCAGACTATGCTTAAAGGCTGTGTTTTATACTTTTCAATAGTTATTTTCAAGTACTTTTGCTTAGATACAAAGATGGTAAAATAAAATTTTGGTTTTTAAATAGCTGGAATTGTTTGTATATAGACTGTGGTTATAGAAGCATTTAACTATGGAAATATTACCAAATAAAAACCATAATGTGTCAACTTTTGTTCAGTTGTCACTAGTAGAATATATATCTCTTTATATAAACACTGAATAATTTTGCGGTTTAAAACACCACGATGTTAATGAGTCTAAATTGTGCTGGTGTATATTATGTTATCTGTTCTTTTGACATGGTTATTTTTTAAATTTTTTGTGTTAATTTTAAGTTTTAGAAATAAAAGCCTTGAAACTATGAGAGGAGGTTGATTTTAGTTTTATAATTAGGGAAAATACAGTATTTTTGTAGTGGTGGTAATTTCTTATTTTGCTTCATTCTATTTTTATTATAGGTAAGGAGCATTTATAAAATTTAGTTGCTTTGGATTTATTCAAATCCTTTTATCACCATTTATTAACTGTTTGTTGTTTTAGGACCTGATCCCACCCTTGAAGAAAGTCCTAAAAGAAAAAGTGTTACATATGAGGAATTAAGGAATAAAAACAGAGAGGCATATGAAGTAACTTTAGCACATAAGACTGATCCCTCAGTCAGGCCTATGCAGGAAAGAATGCCCAAAAAAGAAGGTATGATAGTTTAGTCTAATCACTGTGACTCTTTAGGATTGGATACCGCAGCAGCATTAGTTAAAAACATTAATCATACTAACATGATTTAATTCTACAAGTAATTAACCAAAATAACATTTTTAAAAAAGAATACCTATTTCACAGTTATCAGACTTGTTGTTTTTAATGTGTTCCAGGGGCCATTTTGTGTTAGAAAATAACAAAGTCTAAATAGTAGTATGACTTAAATAGTAAGACTAGTTTTGTAACAATATAAAAATCATACATTCCCTTTGACTGTTTTCTCTTATAAGATTATAAGTCATTTTGGAAACTGTTTTGAAATGATGTGTCTGTTACATAAAACAAGATCTGGTGACCAGATTAACAGTTGGGGTGTAATATTACTTTTGGTGAAACTGCAGAATTATGATTAAGTAATGAAATTGATTTTCTTATATTTGTGAAATTGAAATAGTTTATATGCTTTACAAAGTGGCTTTAGGACATTTCCAAATGAGGAGTTTGTCTTCTTTTTAATAGTACTTTTGCTCTATAAATAATTACAAATTTTAATATCACAGTTTCTTTTAAGTCATTTTGGAGCAGTTATACATTACCCCAACTAAATTTTCTGACACAGAAGTTTATTTCTAAGGGAAGAGGGTGTTTTAATAAGGGGTTTGTAACTATTTTAATGTAGAATTTTATATCTTGAATTTTAGAGAATGCATTGTTATTTCAATGTTTTCTGCTTACTAATTTAAAAGTCGAAGGGATAGGCCCTCAGTGCCTTCTCGCAAGTCGTACGCCACAAAGAATGTAAAAATACATAAAAATTCTTAGTATTTTTTATTATGATTATTCTTTTAGAGCCAGTTTTATTTCTAAGTGCTAGTGGTTGCTTCATTTAGAATTCTGTTCTCATAACAATAATGGATAATATCTGTCATATTACTGATGTAAAAAAAATCTAGCTTTAAAATAGATTTGTAATCAGTATTACTTGGTAATGTTTGTCATTTAAAAAAATTAGTGTAAACCTTTTACATTCAGTAGCTGTTACTCTGTAAATACTTAAAGACTTGCTGGTACTTTGTTCTGCTAACTAATTTGAGACTTAGACTGTAAGCTCCATGAGAGCAGGTAATAGTGTTTTTCTCATGTTTATAATCTTTTATATGGCTGCACGACATGACACCATACACTGATAAATCAGAAATGGGGTATTTCATTGGGCCTTCTGTAGTAATAAAGATTAAAAAAAGGAAATATGGTAGACTTGTAGCATTGGCTAGATTTTGACATTTGTGGTTTTGACTGTAAGTAGTCTTTTAAAGTTCTGTTATATGACATAGCAATATGAAATAATTTCTTTATAAAAAGAAAGCTGATATTGTTGTACTTTATTTGAAGAAAGATAGCTATGAAGTAGTTTCAGGGAATTTCTAGAATGTTTTATCCTAGAAGCCAGACAGAAAATTTGACACTAGTATAGGGTGGATTCACTGGGTCAGAAAGTACCACTTAAATTTTTCAGTTTTAGTTTTGCGGATGACATTTACCTAATTAGAGATTAAGACTGAGAAATTTTAAAAACATAAGCATATTTTCAGTTGTCAGAGCAATACTTTCACCACACATGCATCTTGTAGAAAACTCTACCTTGTACTGATGAAGGAATGAAAGCAAGTGGAAACGGCATGATATGAGGGAAAAGGACATACAGTGGTACCTCTACACACATCATTAATTTGTTCTGGAACTGTGGCGAGTGCCAAAACTGACGAGTAGCAGTCAATGAAGCATTTTCTCTTGTGGGACAACATTGTGACTCATACAAGTTCTAGCACGTGTGACGAGTCCTGAGCAAATGCCAAGTGCTAAAACACTTTTTTCTCATCAAAATGCAACGAGTACAGGGTTTGACAAAGTTCTGAAGCCACCAAGTACCAAGGTGTGATTGTATACATTGTGTTAGTATAGCAATGAAGTAGTTTTGACTTCGCAGCACATTCTCTGAAAGGGTCTTGGGGAGGGGTCCCTAGTCCACACTTCGAGAACTGCTTCTTTACCTTGTTACGACTACTTGTGATTCACAGAGGAAGGCTGTGTGAAAGAGAGGCTAAAAGGTGAAAGAGTAGAGAAGACAGAGCAGCATGTTTCAGAGTACAGTTTTGTGTAAAAAAGTGCAGGAATATTGGAAACTTGTTTCCTCCTGACCACTGGTATTACGGCTCATAAGAGAGAAGATTGAATTAACCATAACTTGAAGACTTGACTGTTTCTATTTCTGTATTTTTTGCAAAAACCAAAATTTAATTTTGTTACCATTTTTTAATTTCCTGGTAATTTTTTTCAATGTGTTGTAACGTATACCACATTTAGGTAGTATGGTAACGTTGTAAAGGCACCCAGGCTTTGGAGCTAAACAGATGTGTTCAATTTTAGTTCTACTTGTTTGATTAGGCTTGGACCTTGGGCAAGTTACTAACCTGTTTTCTCTTAAAATGGTGCTTGTGTTTATAAGGTTGTTAGGAAGATCAAATATTTATGTGAATTCTTGATACAGTGCACTATTTATGTCCAACCTCCAGTTCACTCAAGTCTGGCCGTCCCCTTTTTAATTTGACACTCATGTGCATTCAAATGAGAAACATAACTTTTCATTATAATAGCAACGTTAAAATAGTGCTTTTTACATATTGCTGTTGGAATCATCAACTATTTGTGCTTTTTTCCTAGTCAAAGTAAACAAATATGGAGATACTTGGGATGAGTGAAAAATGCATCTTTGGACCTACTGAAGGAGTTTCCATATCCAGTTTCATCTAGGTGGTCATGAATATCTGCATGCTTTGAGCTCAGCAGCAGTCTTCGTAAACACGTTTCAAACTAGAACTTGGGTTTTTCGTGGTTTGGCTTATTAAAATAATGTTTGAAAAATACACATTTTAATGTTAGTATTGTGTGAATGTATTCACCTTGGGAAACTATATGAATGATGGTATTATACCATGACCAGATACAGTTTGTGAAATTTAAGGACAAGGATGCTCTTATAAAACCATCAAGAGATTGTAATGCTCTAGAGTCAGCATATGTGAAAATAAATGGTAATTGCATGTTGAATTGGGGTGGGTGGGGGGAACAAGCATAATTTTAAGTGTTAAGCTTTACATCAAAAAATTGTTTAAAGGTTTTTCAGTGTTTGCTGTATTAATGTATATGGTAAATAAAAGATGAAAACATGCATCCTCATTGGTTTCATGGTTTTGTTTGCGATCTATTTGTAAGCACAATTAAAAGTTAGTGGTGTTGTGTAGGGATAGGAAATAAGGTCATCTTTTTGAATAGTTAATAACATGGTTAATGTGACTCGTGGATAATCAGCATACAGCAGATGGCTCAATGCCTTAAAACCGCAGTGGCCATGTTCAAAAACTACAAATTTCAGGGGAATAAAAATTTGGTTTACTCTTTTTTTAAATGCTTGTTTCTGGTTCAGGTGAATAGAAAATGAAATTGGGGTTTTATCTAAATTCTTATTTTTATATTACCTTCCTACCAGACACTTAGTATTTAAGTTAGTGTTTGGCGTTGTGCACATCATCTCACGACTTAGTAGCTTGATTTATCGGGGTGATCACTTAGTAAATGATACAATGTCTAATTACAGGGTTGTACACTGAAAGTAATATGTATGTCAACTATAATTGAAAAATAAAGTAAAAAAACCCATTTATCCCATTTTTTGTGGGGGTCAGGAGCTAAGGATTTCCACTGAACGATTTGGCTCTCTGTGTCAGGTGTGCAGTCGGATGCTCAGAGGAACTGAGTGAAGCAGCGGGGCCTGGCCAGGGCATCACCCCTCTCTCTGTTTCGTTTCAGGGCTTTGCCAACGGGTCTCTCCAGGAGTCAGGCAGGCTCCTCACGACAGTGCGCTTGCAGCAGTCAGACTGTTCACATGGCCGCTTGGGGCTTTGGCATGAGTGTTCCAGCCAGTACGTCAGAAGCTGCGTTGCTATCGTCCATTTACCACCTGGGCTCAAGTCTAGCTTTTCCACACCAACCTGCCTATCAAAAGGCTGAAATGGAGGATTCCCATGCTCTCGATTTTCAAAAGAACATGGGATGGAACGTTTTCCAGCCACTTATCTTGGCCCCAGCATTAGGTCACAGTAATTCACAACCCTCCTGCATGCATAATCCACTCACAGCTTTTCCCAGGAACTCTGATTTGAATCCATTCAAACAGCTCAAAGTCTAGGGGCTCATCATTTATCAGGTCCAGGTGTGGGTGAAGCACTCGGGTAAAAATCTGAAGACCTGTGAACTTAAAAGTTTCTTGTTCAAACTGAGTACCTATTATGCATAGTATCACTTCTCTACACATCCTTATCCAAAAAGTGAAATGTAAGGCACACACCAGGCACTTGGCCAGAAATTCTGAAGTAGAGCTGGTTTATGTTGCCAGTTCCTTGCTTACGACTAAGGCACGTCCCCTGGGAGTTCATGGCTTGTGGTTCTACCTTCCCCGTGAAGGAAGCCTGTGCTTGCAGCTGAGTAGTTTCCTCAGCCTGCCCATAGAAATCAAGGATCCCAAGGCCTCTGCGTCGTCCCTGTCCAAATTGGTGTAGTTTTGTAAATCTGTGGAGTTCTTAAGTTAGCGATTGAAAATCCACTTCACAGAAGCCACCCTTGTCTACTGGAAACAGTCTCTTCTGTTTTGGGTTCCCTGTGAAGCTGATTCTTAGGAGCCTCGGGCAGGGTCTACATACAACATTATGCCCCTGAGATGTCCTTTGTGTGTCAAAAATGTCCTGTGATGCACTGTTATCTTTTCAGTTCTTGAACAAAAAGTCATTGCCCCACTCTGGATTTGATCTTTGCCTGGAAGCCATTTCTGAACATGAGAACACTTCGCTGGTTTGATTGGGTTTACATAGTTTCTCCAAATCACTTGGAAATCGTCTCACTTCTCTCATTTTAGACAGCAGCCAGGTGGCACCCTCCACCCTGCCCAGAGATCTCAGCTAGATCAAGTCCAGCAGGTGCAGTTTCTGTTCTCTGTGTTACCACAGGTGACACTTTTGCTCAACTTGACTGCATAATCAGTCTCCTTCAGCTTTCTGTACTGTTCTCTCTTCTGCAATCTCTCCTTGACAGCCTCCTTGGAAGCTCTTTAGCTGCTGTTAACACCCTCCTCCAGGCCCTTGAGGTTTTTACTAACAGTCTCAAGGTCCTGCCAACATCCATATGCCACTTGTTCCCAACGCCGGTGACACGTTTTAAGTTTTTGTTATGCAAGCAACCTACTTTCAGCTACCCAGTTCCTGTGTTAGAACTTGATAGAAAAGCAGAATTGCTCTGAAGGATGCAGAGTGGGGGGTTTGTTGTAGGGATTAGACCGTAGGCCATTGTGGAACTGATGGGTCAATCTGCAAGTTCTTGCCCCTGCATTTTAGTACCAGGCATGTTCTTACGTTCATGCTAGAGACATACATGGAAACGTAGGGGGCTCTTTAGGCCTAAGATTGAAACTGGTACACCTTCATTTCTGCCTCACAAAAGCGAGTCAGCGCAAGCCCAAGTTGAAGGTCAAGAGATAGGTAAGTAAGCCCCACTCACAGTGGAAAGAATATGTAAAATTTCATGACACAAGGCACGCAGATGAGGAAAGGTAAAGAACTGGTCCAGGAATACAAGCTGCAAGGGTGGCAAAAGTGACCACTACTGCCCCTGAATTCTAGTGGCATTCAGTTTGTATCTGCCCCACACAGAGATGTCACATTTTACTACAGCTATTTAGCTACGTATCTCTTCTACTTACCTCTTTGAGGGCAGGGGCTATCTTTTGTATGAATGTACTCATATTTCTTCTAGCACATTGCCCGGCATATGACAGATCTTGGAAAATATTTGTGGAATTAATGAATGAAGCCGTGTCTGGGCTTCCAAATCACAGGGTCTGTGGTGACAGCCCTGATTTTCAAAACTTCATTCAGGGAGGTTCCTTTGTGCTGTTTCTTTCACCTCCATTATTCCACGTCCTAGCTCCCTCCTCATTTGTCGCCCTCCTGTTCCAACCCTCATTCCTGACCTACTCACATCTAGAGATGAGAGAATCTCATAAACAATACTGCTCTTTGAGGTTTGTGTTTTACAGTAAAATCTCCTTCAGGACAATTACTCAGATAACAAAGATTGTTGGAGCACGTGCTGTGAACACGATACATTAAGAAGCTGAAGGGGTGAACTGAACATCTTCCAGTGCAGATGACACATCACTCACCCGTTAAATCACAGAGTTTGGACTGAAAAGGTCAAATAGTTGGGCCTGAAAACAACGTCATGAAGTTGAAAAGAGAAGAGTGCATGTATAATGAGTTACACTGATCAGAATGACTGGCTGTAGCAGCATAAAATGGGGAGAATTCACTTAAAGGCAGGTCACGTGAAAAAGCCTGTCACAGACACAGTTGCAGTGGTTTGGACTGTGGCAGCAGCAGCTAACATCCACTGAATGGCTACTCTGAGCTATGCACTGTCCCAAGCATTTTGTAATTATTTGTAATAGTGCGTGTTATTCTCACGAACAACCTACAGATGAATCTAAAATCTTCCCATTTTACAGATGAAGGAACTGAGATAGCCAGCAATTGGTGGCGCTGGATTTGAGCCTGGGGCCTGGTGCAGAGCCACTCTTGCTATCAGTTCACATGCCTAAAACGAAGGGCACAATAACTCTGCTCTCCTCTGAACTGGTCAGCCCATTTCTGGAGTCTTGCTGTGTGAGGATGTCACAAACCAAAAGTTGTCCCAAGACCAGGATGTGACAGGGCTAGAAACTTACTCTCATGGTTGGGGAAAACTGGGCCCTTTTGCTAGAATTCTGAAAGGAACATGCCTTGCAATATTTAAAGGCTCTTATGCAAAAGAAGAATATGAGTTCTGTTCAGTAGCCATGAGGAAATTACCAGTTTAGGCTGACAAATATTCACAAAGTGCCAGTACCTGGCCAAGAACTCTGCTTGAGAATGAGGATGCAGAGACAAGTTAAAAAAGGACACACTTCCTGTCTTGGAGGAGCTTCTAGTCTGGAGGGGTAGGGAGGCAGGCCTGAGCTCCAGTAGACATTTCTGGATAGTTTTGCAGCTGGGCAGTGATCTGGGTTGCACATGGGCAGCAGGGGTCCTTCCCCTGGAAGTACGTAAGTGGATCCTGGAACCTCACCCGTCCAGACCAGACCGCAGAGGGGCTTCCTACAGTGGGTGGAGCTTGGGTCCGGTCTCAAACCTCAGACTGGTGGTGAGAATATAAGCTCCAGGAAGGTGTGGAATTTTGTTGGTTGTACTCACTGTCACATTGCCATTGACACCTAGGACAGTGTCTGGCACACAGTGGGTGCTCAATAATTGAGTATATGAAAGAATAAAGATGTGAAAACCTGCACTGATTTGCTTTGACAGATTGGAAGATTTGACACCAGCAGGCCCGCAGGCTGCGTGCGTGGGAGTGAAGATGATGTCTGTGTGTGACATGTAGCGGGTCCAGCTTCACTCGGTCACGTTACCTGTTTGGTCCTGGACTTCACGGCCTGCAGCACAGTCACTGAGATCTCTGCCAACTCTGAATGTCTGTGAAATCAAACACTGCAGCTGAAATTTGGGGGTGGAGTTCCACAGTGTAAAAGTTTTCTGGCAATGAACAGATTGTATTATTTGAATATCAAAAAAAATAACCTGTGTGACATTTTTGTTGCTTAATCACATCATTCAAGGGAAATGTTATCACTTCCATGATGTTCGCACAATATACATACATCATCCATTCTGACAGCAAGGGAAGAGAGTAGCTGCTTGAATGAGAGTTTTAAAAATATAGAAGCATTATATACAGTACATCATTATTCTTTTTCATCATGAAGGTACTGCTTTCATAGGCTGATGACCCGCTCAGTGCTGTTGTTGGTAGTTGTTAAATGCTGAACGACAAACGCTTCTCCTTTACCACATGTGCATGTAAGAAATGGACTTTGTCTGCCAGATACTTACTTCCTAGTATATACAGTAGATAATGAAGCAAAATATTTGAGAGTTTTGGGATGACCTCCTAGTTTTTTCTTTATTGATATCCTTTCACACTAAGATCATTGTGGGGAAAACAAACTGCTTCCAGGAATAACTTACCCCCATAGGAAAAGCAGAGAGCCTCCCCGAAAAGAGCCTAATTTGGTTCAGAACTATGAAGATGTCAGC